AAGCCACACCTTCCAAATCTACTTGACTTTCTCTGACAATTCTACTGGCGAGGAGCAGAGAGGTGGTGAAGGGGACACCCAGATTCGGGAACAGGCAAGGCTGGACCAGGCAGCACAATGTTCTCAGGCGCCCAGGACAGTGGCCCAGCCCTGCTCTCTGCAACGATCCTCTTCAGCTGAGTTCTGAGCCAGCTGGTCTCATCTTGCTGCGGTCTCGTCACCCGGCGCCCAGCTCCCAACACGCACACGTCTCCCCTGTCACTCGGTTCCCTTTCCCTCACCTGCCAACACACCTTCCTGAAGAATTAGTGCAGATACCACCTTCCCCAGGGAGATTTTTTCCTGCCCTCAGACCCCATCTAACTAAGCCGGTGACGTCCCTCTAGCCTGACACGCTCCCACGAGACACGTCCCTTCCACCTGGGTGGGGAAGTCACAGAGGACAGTCAGGAATTCTCTCCTTTTAAGAGTGTTGGAAAAGCACGGGTCTGGCATGTTCACTTGTGAAACAGTCTGGAGGTGAAAACTCCCAAACACCCCTCTCCCCCAAGTCCCTAGGACAGGCCGCGAGGGAAATTGAAATGACGGTGGCTTCTAGCTCTTCCCTCAGGAAGCAACATCCCACCACAGACGCCAACTCAGAGAGGAGGGGGGGCTGGCAGTGAGGTCGGCGGGCTGCTGGGACCTCAGGCAGCCAGGCCCCCGGCAGGGCCCCCTCTGAGGTAGGTCTGTGTCAGTTTCCTCCGCTGGGCGCCTCGGTGGCTGGGCCCCTCCCTGTGTAAGTGGGTCAGGCGTCGCTCAGGTTCTGTCACTGCACATCCCCAGGCAATTTGCTAACCGTTAAAAAGAAAGCAGGGAAAGGAAATGAAGTATTGGTGATTATTTCGTGGCAGGGAGCAGTGGTGCCTTTTCGTTTTTAACCCTATTTTATTTCACATTAGGAGGTGAGCAGCGATGGAGGCTAAGCTGACCCCTTTGAAACGGCACCTTATTCCCCTAAAAACATTTAATGGCATTTGGGGAGTGCACGTCTCTCATCCTGACGAATCTTCCCAGCCCTCTCCTTCTAGAATGACTAAGAATAGGCAGAAGAAGCAAACGGGTGTGTTTTTAGCTTGTGTGAGGGGTCTTTTATTTATCAGCTGTCTATAGCATGCCTGCTTCGTGAAGATAAAGGCTTTTGAAATCCAGATGAAAAGCATTTATTCCGATCTTAGCTTTCAAGACACACAACAGATGCACAAGAGATTTCAAAGATACAGATGGAATATTGTGATAAAAACTAAATCAGTGTCTCTTTGAGCTGTCAGTGTGGACTTCAGAAAATCGTGTGTACATAATATCAGGCCTCGGAGCTGGAAACGGCTTTTCCAGTCACAACCTCTGTGTCCCTCTCACTGGCTCAGCACACAGGCTCGGAGTCACACAACCCAGTGGCGGCTGAGGGTCCTCTCCCCCCTCCCTGGGCGGAGCCAGAGGCTTCCTGGGGCTCTGTTGGCTGCGCTGCAAAAGTGGGCTACTCAGAGTTTCTGTCACACAGAAGGGGGAGAGTAACTGAAATTATATCTATGCGGAGATTTCATAACCTACAAAATACGGCTTTCTCCCCCAGAGCCGCCTCCAGGTCCACTTGCTTCCAGCTGTCTTACAGAGAAAAGTGAGCACCTCTTCAGGTGTCACCAGGAGAGAGAGCGATAATAAGCCTTCCTTCCACCCCATGGCCCCTTTCCCCAGCCAGTTCCTGACTGTGAGCTGGGTAAGGACTGGGCCACTCCTCCGAGTCTGTGTCCTGAGTCTAAATTAGAATTCAACCAACTGGCACGGACGCTGATCAGCTAACTGGTCTACCAGATATCTTTCTGCGATACCGTGGCCCTTTAGTATCGAGTCTGCTCAGTGGCTTGATAATAACTGCTGTTTGCATAGCTTCTTCGTGTGAGAGGTGTGTGTGTGTGTGTGTGTGTGTGTGTGTGTGTGTGTGAGAGAGAGAGAGATGTGTGTGTCAGTGTGTGTGTGTGTGTGATTGTGTGTGTGTGTCAGTGTGTGTGTATGTGAGGTGTGTGTAGAAAAACATAATTGAAAAACTCCTTCTCACTGGAGTTCACATAATTGAGTCAAGTTTGTCTAAGTGGTAAAAACAGAGAGAAGGACGCAGGAGTGCCATCGTGAAGATGGTCCTTGTCTGTGGCCGGGCTCATCACAACGCCTCCGTGTGGCTCTTTAGTCTAAAAAGACGTTTGACCTCAGATGACAGCCAGCTGGGTCGGCTGTCAGTGTCCCCAGGATCTGGACACCCGAGGCTGCCGGTTTGTGTGTGTTTCAGAAAGCTGAGACTGGCCCATCATGCTCGGGATTGTTTCGCTGTCTCGTCTAACGACTTGTCTCCCCCGGGAGCTTCCGTTGAACTCTCGAGTCGCCTGCACGTGTGAGTGGATGTGTTGCCCACGCCCAGTTTCTCAGACCCGGAGTTTCCCGGCTCCCCTGTCTCAGGGTTGTACAAGCCTGCTTGTGGAAAGACAATATCATTGCTTCTTGGGATTAATTCCTTCCTGCCTTTTTCTGCACTTCCTCTTTTTCTGCCTCCTTTGTCCCTCGTAACCCCAGGTGCACAGTGCACCCCGTCTCCCTCCTCCTGGCACATCCTCCTTGGGTTGACATGCAGACCCCATGGGACCCCGCGCCCCGGTCCTCTCCTGCAACTGCAGCTGCCCCCCCACTGCTGGGTCCCCGAGGAAGCCACATGTCCTGAAAGCACAGAGAGCGTCAGGCTTTGCAAACGGCCCAGGGGCTACAGGGGTTTGTCCAGGACAGTTGCCATTTTGAACATCCTATCCTGTTTCCCGAAGGTACGCTTGTCAGACGATGTCTTCTGCTTTGGGGTTTGGGAAACACGTTTCCCGCAGCCCTGCTGCGATTTGCCCAGACAGACCAGGCTGTGTAGCCTTCATAATGTTAAGTCGGCAGCTGTAGAAACATCCATTCCGAAGCTTCAAAGGACACACGGCTGAACCTCCCAGACCCCCGGGGCTCACTGGGACAGCCACACACCGGCTGCAACGTGCTCCCTGAGGAAACGGTGGCCTGATAGGAGGAGCCCGAAGGCCCTGGCCTGACCCTGTGTCCCTTCTGCTCATGCTGCCTGGGCAGCACCGTGGCCTCTGCCTGTCCACACAGACGCTTTGTCCGGACGCCACGGCGCTCCTCACAGCCGGTCACTGAGTGCTGGGGACCAGGGCCTCTGGGCTTAGGAAGGGCCCACACCCACCCCTGCTCTCCAGCTGGGGACGATGTGCCCACGACCCTGGCCTCCTGTGTCACTGCCCCTTGATGCAGCGCTGCTGTGCACACCTGAGGTTGTGGTGGGGGCCCGGGGGCCCCCACTGTGTGACGGGCTCAGTCCACATCTCCACAGTGACTCGGGCCAGGACCAAGCACTCAGCCCCCGCGAGGCCTGGCAGCCGCCAGGAGGGACAGGGGTGGGAGTGTTGATTAGAGTATAAATACTGTGTGGGGGTTTAAGCTATTTAAAATATGTTGAATTTGCCTTGATAAATGGCACCGCATAGAACCTCTTCCATGTACTCAGCCTTTCCTGGAAACCTGTCCCGTGTCTGATATTCTCAGACTCCCACAGTTTAGGGCCCCCCATCTCTCTGAGTTATTTCCAACGCGGTGGCCATCGGCCCAGACGGCCTCCCCCAGTCCCGGGCAGCCTCGTCTCTTGACGCCTGACAGTAAGCAGGATCTGTCTTGCCGGCTTGAACCCTGACTAATATGTAGGAACCAATCGAAGGCGGTGCTGAAAGTAACATGGGTTTAAAATGGAGTGCCATCACTACAGAGCTACAAATGGACAGTCAGTGGAAACTCATGCAGAGCGGTGCCCCCTGCCTGCCCAGGCGCACTCACTGCGCTTGAATAGAAGGCAGTTACTTGTCTAACTACGTAAATTAGACAAGTGAGCTCCCTGTTTCCGCTTTTTTAGAAACATGGTCAGATGATGCTGTGGGGTCTGTGAGCTTTCCACAGAGAAGCCTGTGACATGGGCGCCGTCCTAGCATCATCAGTGATGGGCTGGCACTCCTCTGCCCTCCGTTCGGTTCACAGCCACCAAAATACCTGGGAAAAAGAACGCTGGCCTTCAGCGGAAATGGCTTCTGCTCCGTTTGCCAGGAGGTGAGACGAGGACATAAACCAAGCTCAGTTTCTCAACTGGCAAACCAGGTCCCTCAGACTGTGTTTTATTCAAAGAAGGATAAGTAAGAAGTCCCGCTTATCATGAAGAACATATGCAGAGCTGCTGCTTAGGCGTGAGGCCGGGCAGAGTGAGCTCAGAAGGTTAAGGTTTTCCAAAACAAATACGACTCCTCCAAGAGCAGGGGGCTCCTGTCTAGAATAGTCTACGCTTTGAATAAGAACCCTGGCTTGTCTTCATCGCCCAAACGCCCACTTGTGTTTATAGTTTTCTAAGGGTGTTATGTTTTCTTAAAAGTTTCATGTGTTCTGCCTCTTTCAAAACAGATTTGAGGGGCATCCCCTTCCCTCCTCCTTCCTTCCTTCCTTCCTTCCTTCCTTCCTTCCTTCCTTCCTTCCTTCCTTCCTTCCATCAGCTTTTTTGTCAGGCACTGGGCTGAATGGTGAGGAAATACCCAAGAAAGATGTACAAACTTGTGAGGGGCTCGCAGCCTGGTGGGAGAGCCAGGAGAACTTCCTGAGAAGATGAGAGGAAGGAAATGTGCTGGAAGAACTTAGAGAAGAGCGAACTGACTCGGTCCTGGAGAGTCAGACCAGGCTTCACAGAGAGGGTGGCACTTCGTTATGTAAAAAGTAAACATTTCCAAAAGTCTGCCAGGCAGCTGGGACAGCACGGGCAGCAGAGCGGCTCTCCAGGGGCCCAGCAGGGCGGGAAGGTGGGGACACAGCCGGGTCCGCCCAGAGAGGCCTGTTGATTTAAGCAGGGTGGCTGATAAATCATTTCCTCTCATGCTGCAAATATTTGCCAGAGCTGTTCTCTTGTGAAGTGGCAGCTGTAAGCCCAGAGGGTGACGTTCACGTCTTCCTTTAATTATTTGCAAGTTTGTCTCCTCTACATTTCTCTCTCTTTACATCTCTGCCGAGTGATTAAAGCTTGGCCTGGCCTAAGAAAAATGGGCTGATCGTCTGTGGAGGTGAGAACCTCCTTTCCTGAACAGGCGAGAAGAACGGGAGGGAAGCAGAAGCGGCCATGACACCTGGCGCCGCGGAGACGGACAAGCTGATGGGCCCGGAGGGGGTGAACCTGCTGTGTCTGATTGCCAGTCCCCACGGGGCATGACGGACGGCCTTGCCATGCCCTGGGGTCGTGACCTGGTCCCCATCACACCCCAGTCCCACTGGCCCTTCTGTTACGTGCACATCCCAGTGTGTGCTGAGTGGGGGTGGAGGGGGAGGTTAATGGTCTTGCAAGTTTATAGATCGGTGCAGGAAGATGGCCCTCGTCTCAGCAGGACGTGGAAGGAGGGATTCTGAAGGGCTTGAGGCTGGGGCTGAGGCTGTTGAGGGCTTAAAGAGCGGGTGAGTATATCTCCTGTTTGGAAGGGTATTAAAATATGCATGAAAGGCACAGTGTGATCACATAGATTGTTTTACCGCAAGCATGTACTTTCTCTCACTTCCACCATAAGCAGCGTCCGCGTTCCAGGATGGCTCCCTGGCCCGGCTTGGCCGTGTCACATTTTGGCCAACGTGATGTTGGGGGTGACACGTTAGGAAAGACCTGACATGTCTGCAAGGAATTTTGCCATTGTGTACGCTGCCACCTCCATGAGAACATGACGTGGATTGCCTACTGGCCAAGGGAGAGCGGAGGTAACTTGGTCACGGCCAGGTGACCGGCAGGGGGCACTCTTCACACACACGGCTTGTTGGAGACTCAGCAGGGCCGGGCCCTTCTCCGTCATGTCATGGGCCCCACCCCGTCTCAGACCAGAGCTGATGAACTATAAGCAACAAAAGGCCCTTATTGGAGCATAGTTCCAATCTCCGCTCGTGCAGGCCACAAGCTCCACCCCCCCACCCCTTGTCTGTATCCCATTTCATCTTGAATGCTGATGGGATGGCAGGAAGCTTCGTTTTACAGCCTCAAGGTCCTAAGTAGAACCACCTGGGTCATCAATGCCCCTCGGTCTTCCTGGTAACAATACTGGCTTCATCATTGTCACCTGCTAATGGGAGGCTGACACCATCAGAAGGAAAACTCAGCAGTTTTGCTGATAGAAATCTGACTGGGCTTCTCCTCACGTCAGAGTCAGCAGACTTCCCTGAGAAAAGGAGCTGTTCACAGGAAGCCCTGTCTCCTGAAGAACCCATGCAACTGCCCGCTAGGCCTGAAGGCTATCAGCGTGGCCTTGCCCCCGGAGGAGCTGACCCAGGTGACGAATGGCTACGTGAACCGCCTGTGCAGCAGTGTCCATCTGCTTTACTGGGGCCATCGGACTGGCTCTCCTCCCGGGGACCTGTGACCGTGGAGTTCGGCTGACCAGCTCACCTCCAGCAAAGCAGGCTCTCGGGCAACACCTCTAAATTGAACTGGGTTTAATGTTCATTTAACTCACTGGGCCGCCAGTGTGTCTGTCTGAGCGGCGGATGGTTGCCACACACGTGATGTTTCTGATGTAAATGTGCCCTCCTGATGCGTCCTCATTTCTTATACAGCTGACCCTGGACAACAGGTTTGAACTGCACAGGTCCACTCACACGCAGACTTTTCCCCTATAAATACGTGTACTGTTCTCTTTTTTTCCTCTTTTAACATGCATTTTTCAGTTACAGTTGACATGCAGCATTATAGCTCCAGGTGGGCAGCGTGGCGGCCAGACGTTTCTATGATTTATGCAGTGGTGCCCGATACCTGCCCTGTTTCCACCCACGGCTGGGAGTCCGCAGGGCGGAAGGCAGACTGTGTCGGCTCTTGTCCCCTAATGTGCTGCCTTTTCTCTGAAATTCTGTTTTCACAAACCAGTAAGGGATCAATTCCACGGACTTTCCTACCCCCATCTCTCTTCCTCCCCTCTCTACTTTGTCTTTCTCTCTCCCTTCCTCACTTTTCTTATTTCCTTTCTTTCTCAAATTTTTCCTTTTTTGCGCTCACTTTCCCTTGGTTCAGCAAGCAAACACTTATTGGCCACCTCCTCTGATCCTGACTTAGGTTTCCCAGAAGGAACGCAGCTCCAGGAGCCTCCTGTCCTGCGGGGGCTGGGGGTGGGGT